ATGCCAGAATGAACCGACACTAAAAGAAGCGGCGTGGACTGACTTTGAAAGCCGACCAATCCGACGACACCGCCGCTAATTTTATCGTGATAATTATTACTTGGTTCCGCGATAGTAATGATGAAAAATTTTAGTATTTCTAATAGCGATATTACGAAACAAAAAGATAGACCTGACGTAATACTAATTACTGCGTTAGTCATTGCCATCATCTTCCTAATTAAAGCTAACAAACGGACTTACGTAGAACTACTATAATTGATGATTTACTTATTTAGCTCTTATTGCTAGAAGCTATTACTTCTGCTGCAGTTACCATGCTGGAGACGCCCCGATTTTAATTATTTAACTTCGCTATTATCTGTATTCCTCTTGCTTTCCACAGCCATTTCTTAGCTCGAAACCCCTCGGGCGGATCGTGGTGAAGTTAGGAGCAACGATTAAGTGTAACAATAGAAGTCGTAGTGCTTTGTGCGTTGTACGTGTTATTTGTGAATGCAAGATTGGAGAACCAATAGTGGTAGTATCAGTATTTGCCTGTTCTTTGTATGTATTTTGGCCTACGTTGGCTATTGATCCTGCTGGTGCATCACAACATCCTCGTATCAGCTCGTCTTCTATCATCGCTTTTTGATCGGTATTTATTGATGATAATGCTGAGATGCACCACTCTGCAGGCGGCCTAACTTCCAGGGTCTCTAGGGATCGTTGGAAGGAAGCAACAGAAAAGCCAAGCAGAAGACTCGCAATAGGAACGCAGGCCGCATCTGCGACCATTGAAGGCAGCGAGGAAGAAGGGAATCTTACTCGCTTTATGCTGCGGCCTGACGATCACGAGCACCGTTAGCACCGCCGTTCGTTGGCGATCCCAGTCATGATCAGACAACGGTCATCAGTGGTTTGCTTGCTCAATTGGCTGGCTGACAATAAACACATGAATCAATCAATGAGTACGCGCAATGGTAGTAATTGAATGAAAGAAACACCAGAAAATTGGTCGAACGTAAAACGCAGAAACGAGTAAATGCATTCCTGTTTATGTTCACTGATCACACTATTCTAATATCTGCCTTAGAGAAAGAAAAACTAGTAATTAAGCTACGCTTACTAGCTATTGCGGTGTTGCTCAATTTCTATCTGGCCACTGTAATGAAGTAAATCAGATATTATGGAGTTGCTGGCTGTATTCCATTACCTACAAATTGCTGCTGACGCACGTTTAGGTATCGGCACGGTAATATTCTGGGGCTTTGCGTGTCATTCGTCAGAGATCGGTAAATTCTTCTTTTTTTGGCTCTGGTAGTCTTAGTGACACGGGAAAACGCCAGCGGGATTAACTTCAAGCGCACTTTGAACTATTTGCTGTTCGATCTGTGCACCTGCGCTTAGCGAGATGTACACGATCGTCGTCGAACCGGATATGTAATAGTGTGGACCTTCTTTAGTTTGCTCTCGTCCTTCTGACTGCTGCCGTAACGTTGTCATTCGAAAAACTTCGATAACCGGTTAGTCAATCGACCGCTTGGTTAGTCGCTCTACACTATGTCCTTCAGGCTTATTCATAGCGTATACTAGCATAGTAATTGCAGCCCTCCATTTTGCTCATCTGAACTTGGGGCCTGCAGATAGGAAGCCCCATTTGGGGGCATTAACATGCGCTCGCCCACTGCAGCCTTACGTTGTGCTATTATTATTCTCAATGGAATGAACGCGCATTACTATGGGGTAACCAACGGTTAAGTGTAGCTCGGATCGACGCTCGCTTTCAAAAAGGGGCGAACAGCATCATGACGACCACGAGAAAAAGCTGCTGCTGCTGCTGCTCCAGGAAGAAGAAGAAAAGAGGCGCGACAGAAGTCGAGGCAGAAGATCGGGCTCCATACCGAGCCGTCGATCGTCGTGTTTCAGCAGTCGACCGCGTCTACCTGGGTACTAACATCACCGCAACCATCATCGCCAGCCGTAGCGACTCTCACACATGCGCATATGGTACTCCCGGTAGAGTTCCAGGCGCTGCCTTCTTCTTCATCATCATCGCAGGCAAATGCCGCTCCTCTCGGCAGCCGGTTTGCCTTTGTCCCTCCCTCTGCCTAGCGCTCCCCTGTTGATTCTGAAACGCTCCTCGAAGCCGATGGGACTCTCTATCTAGTCACAGACAACGAAGGAGCACCGGCTGAGGAAGATCATCTGCTTGAAGGCAGCGTGCGTTACCGGTGCCAGCAAAAGCACGCGGAGAAACGGGCTTACGCACACCTTCTGTGCCCGTCGATCCGACTCAACTTGTTCTCTAGCGGTCTACGAAGTGGTTTTTACAATGGTTTCAGAATCTATGGGACTGCAAGCAGCAGTCGCCTGTATGGATGTGTATATATATATATATATATATATATATATAGGAAGGGCTTTCAGAAGATAAATGTTGTTGTCTAACACAGGACTGCTTCTGCTCGTATTTGCGAGTTGGCAACCTATCCTTAAGGAACGAGCTCAGCCGACTGATTTTGAGATAATCATGGTTATGTAGTATACTACGAGTTCAGCGATTTGGAAAAGCAGCTAGCTAGACTCGTACATTATTCTTTAAAACATAGTTTTCTACATCTATATCTAAAATATGTCCCAATTACTTCATGGTCCTGCTCGAAGCAAACCTGATGATTGTCCAAATATTTTTGCTCTCTGCATGAATCAACGGTAATTTCATTTACATGCCCTGAAAGCTAAAAGGTCAAACAAAATGTCGTACGAATAAGATAATTCTCTCGACTTTCAGTTTGGTATCGATGAACACCGCGCAACTGACTAACAGAATACGATCCGACTGGGAATAGTGTCAGGTTAGAGGGGTAACCAGTGACTAGGTTCGGTAATAGCATCTATGCCTCATTCAAAGGAATGCCTCATTCAAAATGTCATCTCCTTATTTTTTTTTTAACTAAATGAGGAAACGACGGTACCTTAGCGTAAATTTTTTTTTTTTTATTTGCGCAAATTGTGTAGTATTTAGGTATCGTTGGAGGGATTTGAAGAAACAACTCCTGGTCCTCTTCTGCTAACTCCTAAGCCGTTAATGCCAACTTGTCGATTTCATTATAGTATGACTTAGGGATTCTCATTGTACTAGTAACCCATTTTTGGCCTCTTGAAACACCCCAATGAAATACTTCTCTAAGTCTCATTAATATGGTGTCATTAATATTATTCTCATTAATATTTTGGACGAGCTCTTGCCAACTATGATTGTGTATATATATATATATATGCACAATCATAGTTGCTAAGCTTCTATTCATAAAAAAAAAATCATATAATGCACAGCAAAAAATATCACACATGCATATATAACAAAAAACAACAATGTAACAACAAAATGCAGACGATATTAGACTGAAAATAGAGCAAAATTCGACGCAGTTTTCATCCGTACGCAGTTTTTTTGATAATATGTGTACAGGTGTATGTCAAAAACTTCCATTTCTAAGTGTCGCATACCTCAGCACCGATGGTTTGCTATGCTCAGAAGTGTCCTCTGTATTTTCAGTTCATTCGCGAGTTATAGGACCTAAAGTGCAGATCTCTTTTTGGAAGTTTAGCATCGGCACCAACGTTCCATTTGCAACAACCATCTACGTCCTATTACTCTTACCACCTATCAATGAAGCCCGCCAATGACTGGCGATAAATGACTATACTAATTAAGTCAAACAACCACACCTTTGAGTGTCTGTATAATCACACTGCCAACGATTGTCTGAAACATTTTTAGGTCTGCAATCTGCGATGAAGATCCAAAAAGTTATGGATTAGTTATAGAGCCCGACACTTACTAGCACTTAACAGCCTAATAGTATTATAGGCACAAGGTGTATAGCATGAGCCAGTGTTAGCTGTTTAACCCGCTTTTATAGAGCCCAATGGGGACATCTGATCGGTGAGTATCCTGCGAGTGTCATTATGGCAGTCTTTGGTTCTTGACTTCTTCGCCGAAGCGTGATACCTGTTCCGACGGGACATCAGGCCTGCAGGAACAACACTGTCGTTTTTTGAACTTTTATGTGCGCCGGTCTGGTGGGAACACATCAACGCAAAGAGCCCAGACCCATTGTACGAAACAACAACTCGCAACGCTGCTCACTTAGCTTTCAGCGAGAAGCTACGAAAGCCCGACAAATCTGTTTTCAAGCTGGCAAAGCGGCTGAGTTGCTGTTTCAAGAAGTGCTGTTACGTTGACGTTGTTACAAGTATACAGACAGACAGGAGGCGATAGACACAACAACCGCTGGGGATCCACCACGCACATAAGCGCCATGCTCGACCTGTCGTTGACCGACCGACTGACTGCTGAAAAATGCACACTATACTAGCCTTTGTGCTACTCCTCGTGATTATGATGACTGTGATGATGACGGTAGATTAAGATGCCGAAAAACCTGTTTCGGCCTGGATCTTCGCTGACCTACTCTCTCTGTGTCTCACTGTCAGCCTCGAGTGCGGTCAGTAACAGCCGCCGGAACAAAGGCTGAAGGACCAGTCTGAAACACGTGCGCTTGTAGACTGGCGCATGAATGGTACTTCACTTCATGTACAGTAATATATAATACATAGCGACATGTACTGACGCCGACTGAGCAGGCCGTAATAAGGTCGAGAACACCAGCGGCCTGAACCTATGCATTTGCGTAGTAGTACATTCTAGTAGTACTACATTCTAAGCTTTGTTCATTTTGTAATAGGCTATAGAAAGAACTATAACACTAACAAGAGAACTACCACATTTCTGTTTAAGGATATGCGTTGTGAAATTTTTTTAATATCAAGTATTACTGTTGATAGATTCGACGTGAAAGGTATGAAACGATCTAGACAAATAATAGCTGACTTCGGTGTACACATTGACTGCAAATAGCCGGTCACACAAAAGTACATCATACAGGTGACTCAACGTTAAAAAGCTGTTATTCTAAAATGACTGAAAAAACAATTGGCCACTGCGATTTCAGAGTATGGAGTCAGACCTTCCCGAGTGCGCGCCACGCCAGGTGTGCAATCGCATAGATGTCTACTCAACCCCGTGGGTCGAACGACAGTGTCGCTGCCCATCCGGCCCGGGTATCAACAAACAGCAGGCTTGCCCTCAAACGGTGGACGCCGAGGACGGCCACTCACTAGTGGATCGGACCCGGTTATTTAAAACTTGCGAGCCTATTCGTACGCTGCCGATGTGCAGATACTTCCGTGACTTCACGTGGACGATTGAACAGATGGGAACAGCATCGGCTTCCTCATCATCATCAACAACAGCAGCATCCTCTATGGCAGGTGCGAATGGGGCTGCAACGAGTAGAGGGGACAGCGGCAGTAGCAGCGGTGTGGGTCGCCAGACGGTGCATTGCGTTTGTCCCAGAAACTCCGTGGCGTATATTGCGCGTCATGAGGCTATCCAAGCCGCGGATGGAACTGTGCAAGGCTTCAAGTACTCGTTTGCGTGCTCTCCACAGAGCGTAAGTGTCTGCCTATTGAAAATTAGTTCTTTTGCGTTCACTGCATTTGTTTCTTGGGATATAGGATGATTAAATGATACCAAATTACATATGCTCTAAAACAGCGCTATGATACCATTAACGTTTTTAAATGTTTTATTTATTCGTCGTAAAATTACAGAGGCAGGCGTGTGCGCCGTCAGAGCCTTGTCGTTTGTTTACGGTAAAGAGACGCCGGTTCGTCGACGAGGTGAACACCAATACACTTTGCGAATGTGGCTCTAAGCGCCGTTGTCCATCGCATCACACGGACGAGTCCATAAGTCCGGGGTCGTTCTTCAAAGAAGACCATGTCAAGGTGTTCACAGGATTCTGCCAGCCAGTTCCCAAAGAATCAGTTCCTTTAACAGGATCAGCCCCAATCCAGTTGGCATCATCGTTCAGTCCACAAACTGCTATGCCTCTAACAGCAGCCCTCATGGCAGACGTGAACGTAACTTCAGCACCCTTTGAACATTTTGCCGCTACTACAATAAATAGCAATTCTACAAGTGCCAGTAGGAGTGTGACTGAGCTGACCCCTCTTCAATACATGACCCCGGACGGAAGCCACGGAAACAATAGCAGCAACGGCGGTAACAGCACCAACGATACAACCAGCAGTGGCAGCAAGGGCAGCTCGAGTAGTTCTTAGACCTTTAGAGACATTGATTGATTTTGTCCTGAAGCCGTAAAAAATGAATTACGACGAGGTGAACTAATAGAAGTCCGGCTATTGTGAAGTGCACCATCGAACTTGTCTGAGTCTCTAATGCCAATATGCTATGTGAACTTGATCGATGTACCACGCGCCGGTCGTCGAGTTCTCGCGGTCAGGACGTCGAAAGAAGCAATGCTTCGTGTTACTCCACGGTGGGCTAATTACATAACAAGTGAAACAGTCTAGGCATAACTAGTTCGAGGTGAACACATGGTACCTCTGCTCCTATGAGCTCCCATCAATAGATTTCCAGTCATTGATTGCTAACATTGTAGCCCCATCAGCGTAACCATCAGAAACGTCAACTACCCTCATCGATCCTGTCCTAAAGTGCATATATACATGCACATTTACTGTGCACTGTGCTTTGCTGTCAATTCTACGGTCCGTGATATTGACAGTATGCGCTTACGGCAATTGGGGCTCAACAAGTCGGCTCGGTGATACCAGGTATCGTTGTTAAACACAAAAGGCAGCAAGAGTGAAAGAATTACCGTCGTCGTTAACAGAAACGACGACAACAACAACAACATCTTCCTCCAGTAGAAGCATTGCGGATGGACTGATTCGTTTACCGAGTCGGGCGCGTATCAGACTATCGGCACAGACAGACAGTCAGACAGACAGACCGACAGGCAGGCAGGCAGGCGGGCAGGCAGGCAGGCAGGCAGGCAGGCAGGCAACAACAACAACACATGGTCTCATAGTGAACTTCGTTTAACTTCATTAGTTGTTGGCTCTACGCTCAGTGGTATGAGGGCTAGACGAACATTGAGGGTCACGGCCGCTTAACGCTTCTGGAGGTCATCTTTACGATAAGGTCACCCGGTCCCGTCACGTCGTCCCCTCCGCCCGCCTTCATACGGCATCGTCACTGCCGAAGCAGTGGCAGAGGCCATACGTCGTGGGGCCGCAGAGAGAGAGAGAGGAACCAACGAGCCAACTAGGCCTAGAGGCAGGCAAGCAGCCCGTATCCTGTCGCTTGTTCGTCGATCTAACGTCTGACGAAGTTTGTCTTCGCAGACGCAAACGCACACGAGGGACACACATACATATACTATTGCGTATACGGACTAAAATACACACAGTTTTCTACGAACACGACAGACGAAGATAAATGCTATGAAAGTGGGACGCATTAGTTCATTCTCGGTAGTAAAACGCAGAAAAAAAAAATGGTGGTGAAAAGAGACTGAGCTGGTGAGGGAGGGAAGTGAGAGGGACGAGTCGAGTCAAATAATGAATATATGGGTGCACAAGGAAACGAAGAATAAAGGAGGGAATTAGTTCGTATGACACGCAGAGAAAAGTGGACCAAGAAAACAATATAACGAAAGAAGAAGCATCGAGTGGCAATAAAAATAAAAATTATTTTTGATTTTATTATTATTATCATCCATCAGACCCCTATGCACCATTTCGTTGGGTCTTTGAGAGTAATTTTTCCGGAATTTGAAGCTAATGAAGCCGTATCATCGTCATCAGCAACCCATAATGTACAAACAACATGTTGCTGGGTGACCCCGCAACCACTATTATTACTATCGGGCCGACGCCCAAATTTCATCGTTGGTTTATCCTGTAGTTCAGCATAACAACCCTATTTTCCTGTTTCTACAGTAGCTAAGGTCAATAACTGCTATTTGATTACTACAGTCGGATAATAATCGCGTAACATCAAGATTTTTACTAGTAGCAATTACCTGTACCGCAACATGTGTCTGTTCATGTTTATGATCACACTAATTATGGCTGTGTTTAGGTCGTATTTTTGTCAGTGTAGTATACAGAAAAGCTGTAGTGGCCGTCATTAAGGACACCGAAACATCAGGTTCGGGTTTGACTAGATCTAGTAGACAGAACAAGATGGCGTGGATCGGTCAACTGCACAAAATACGATGATGAAGCAGAGATAAATGTCGCTATGTCTACTCCAAATATAGCATTTGGAATAATGAAGCATTTCGCGCAATCGTCTAGCCCCGAATAGAGAGCATTACCATGAACCCCACAGAATATGGTAAAAGGAGAAAACTTGGAAAAGAACTTCCCAATATTTTCTCGATAGCTCAAAGTAAACAATAACTAATTTGTTTTTTGTTAAACTGGCAGACCAAAGAAACGAATAATTGTCCCTTCCCCCCTCAAACTTGACAGAAGAATCGAGGCTCCGGTGCGCGATGACGGCCACTTCGCAGCATCAACGTTAGCGATGACACATCTGCACAACAAAGAATTCGCGTTCGCGGAGAATTTTATCAGATGTTAGATGGATTAATAGTATGATTAAACGGGATTCTAATAGGTTTATGGGATTCCTAAGTTCTATTTTTTTTTTTTTTTTTTTTTTTGTTTACACATTGCACTTAGACCCTGTACAACTGTATGTTCTCGTTAGACGAATACGAAGGCTCGATAGATTTAAAAATAACGATAATGGTATGATGACATCATCGTTACATTAAATGGCGCAAATACGTTCTGTCTGTTAATTTATCGCAAAATCACAATAGATAAAAAACTATGATCTTAAAGATCTCAGAACGCCGTTACTCCAACGATACTAGCAGCTACAGAAAACGGCAGGCTCAAACGTTCTTCAATCGATAATAAAGCATATTCAGCGACAGTAATGACATTGGTAACCCATGCGAAGATTTGGATTGAGCAATAAGCACTACTAAGAAATGGCTACTCTATTAATAGTCTATAAAAAAATGGGCCTTTAACGCTTCCTTGCAACACGTGTATGAGCTCGAATAGACAAGCGAAACATTTGTTACTTCTGCTTGGACGAATTCATAGAACAGACAGGCTTAATAGACAGGAGGAGTGTCGTTGATTTTATCTAAATAATTTTTTGTACCACCCTTCATTGTAAAATGCCGATAGTTGTTGCGACAATGACTTCAGAGTACTATAATAATAATAATAATAATAATAATAAAAAATGGAGATGATATATCTATAAATACATATCTATATTTATAAAGCATAGTAATACTATTAAATAATAACCTATTTATTAATAAATGAAGGAGAAAAGCTGATAGGGGGCGCTTGGAAGTGATTAATGATAGAAAATATACGGAAAAACATTAGGCAGTGTATGGCATACTTACTGGACGACTAAAAAAGGAGAAACTAAAATGAGATTTACGTCCGGTACTGCCATTAAGTACTGCGTCGGACGGAACCAACTACAAACTGCTACTGATACCGCTAGTGTTACTAGCGGCGCTAGTGTACTGTCCAAAAACAAACCGCTCACTGAAGTACCACATGGATGATTCATGAATCAGGGGATATTTTCTAACGTGTAGAAAAAGCTTAATTATTCCTAATTTATTATTGAGTATCATGATTTTTTTCAAAAGTGAAAGTGTAGTGTTATTGTTACTGTTAATGGTCGAAAGTTCGGCCATTTTCGGAGCTTCAAGTATAAAGCACGCCACGTTTGTCGAACATGTAGACCCACTTGACAAAAACAAGTCCTACCATTTCCGTTAGCACTCCTAATCACTTCGCAAGCCCCATCAGCAATAATAATCTATGAAACGACATGTGCGCACTGAATAAACGCAAACAAAACAAGGACGCTATAAGAAGAAGCTTGTAGGAAGATAGACACAGTGAACGCTAATATATTACAATCGATGCTCAAGCGATGCTTCATTTTTTCGGGCCTGAGAAAAGCGAGCTAAAATCACGTAAGCTTATATTCGTGTAAATATAAAAAAATAAGTGACGTTTTTGGTGTATACGCATTTTAACTAAGCCTGGCAAAAAAATACGTTTCCGCCAATCGAAAAGGTAGCCCGCGTGCTGTTTTCAAAATTGTCAAATTTAACGTTAAGATGTGTACATGAATCAAACTGTTGCAACATCAGGACGGAACCCTTGTAAGCAAGCGCGTTATGTACAGAGAGATCACTATTATAGAACTGATTATTATTGTACAGTGTATATAAAAAAAAAAAACAGGTTTGAAGGAAAGTACAAAAATCTAAAAGGTTAGACACATCACAGAGAAGAAGAAATATTGAAGAATAACCGACAGGTTAAGCGGAAGGATGAACATATGATGACGGCAAGGAAGATCTAAACAACGTTGAATGTTAGTGGAAACAAGAAGGTCATGAAGTTTCTGTACGATAGTAAAAAGTCTGGATGCCTAACAGAGGGTCTTCCAAACAGAAAAACAAAAATTAATAAAAAGTAGCAAAAAGATTATAGAAAATACTTTTGGTGTCTTCTATGTAAGCTATTGCATACACGCTCGTATTGAAATTAGATCCCAAAGTCTCTTTATTTTCTAAAGAGCGCTCGAAGTTTCAAGCTTGCTTTTGTACAATTGTATATGCCCGTATTACTTCTAGGCTGGTTTTTAAAGATTTTTTTTTTCATTTTCATTCTTTGTGGTATAATCAACGTCCTGAAAACATAGTATTGCGTTAAATTAGAACGGTTCACGTTTAATATATATGTAATTTGTAAACTATATAAAATTGTACATATCCGGCGAATTTACCTAGCTGTATCACTAATGCAGTTTAACCTAGTTGTACAAAGGCTTTATATATAATAGATAAAGCACGTATTGTTTTAACAAAAAAAAACTTAGAAAAAAACGACAAAGACTCTAGGCGGTAGGTATTTCTTGTAAGGAGTTTAACTACAATTGCTATATTACTACGATCGCGAAGTTTACTTTAATGAATTCACATATATTTTATGGAAAAGTATTATATATTTTTAATTCGATCGGCTTGTGGTACTCTAACAATCCTTAATTTCTTACTTGTATGCGCAAACATTTGTTAGCAATACCACCTAGTTTTTATAATTCTCCTTGTTAACCGTTGAGTACCAAGGGGCTTAAAAGATCGGAAGATCGGCTTGACAACAATTTGTTCGCTTCTAACATTATTACATTGCATTAAACGGCTGATTTTTATCACAAAACAAATGTCTCTAATTCGAAGTTCGAATCCAAGATTATCTTGTAAGTCTAGAACCTAAATATGCTGTGTGTTATACGCAATATAACGACTTTTAAATATGTAAACTTACCATAAACTAGAATTTTTTTCCGTTTAAAATATAATAGAAAAAAATTAGTTGAAATTATTTTTAAAGGGCACACTTGGGAACAGCTATGGGCATTTTGACCCGAGACTCTTCTGTACGTATGGATTGTAGCCGGTAAAACATGTTCTCGGTGAGCTCGCAAAAATCAAGCTAAAGCGAAGACTTCGAAAAGAACTTTAGAGAAACTCAAAAATACTGGCGCCCTCTCATAATGAAGTAATTTCGATGGATGGACGAAAAGGTGTATGAAATCAACAGACTATGAGAAAAAATAGCGACACCTACGAAATCGAATACTGTTTTAACCGATCTGAGGGTGCGCTTGGATAATCTTACAAACCCTCAATTTTTATCAAAGCTCTTGCTTTTTTGGGGCAGCGTTACTAGTAGGGAAGTACCGGACGAAAGATATGACGGTATAACAAGATACGATGCATACCATCAGATAAATCAAACAGAGCGCAAATAGCGGAATTAAACATGCCGCGCTAATCAAAAGAAACCAAAATAGCAAATTTTCTACAAAGCCTACATATCTGGACACAAACAGCTCATCGTGGCCGGGAAAAGGCCAAAGCTAGATTATCAGTTGAAGTTAAAGAATATCGAAAAGATTGCCGCTCGCAACAAAATTCATATATACGCGGAACACTACTAGCGTGTGAATAAATATTGCCAAAACACTGATTTTTCTAATAAAATATGGTGTTAATGTGGCAAATTGCGAGCACCAGGACAAACGACCATAGAAGGAGAGGAAGACAGCAGAGGACTCACTAAGAGAAAATAAGGACGTAAGCGTAAAGATGGCATACGAAGAAGAGGCATAAAGCGCGAAAAAAAAGCATCAATATTTATTAGCCCTTGAGGAACATTGCAAACAATAGTTACTAGTAACAGGAAAACACACAAATCATCATAGATCTGATTAAAGAGACTGGTGAGGTCAAAATAAAAGCGGATCAGATGAATACAAAAATAGTCAATAACGGTGTAAACCGTACACTAAGACGGAAACGGTTTTTTAAAAGTAACGATAATATCGTCAGCATAATATCTATGTTGAGGGCCTACTAATCGGTTTGCCTACGAAAGTGAGAAGAATCGAAAAGTAAACATGACCTTTACGACAGCCCAAGAACTCCCCTAAAATGATTGACCAACAAGATTATTGTGCAAGGATCCATAATATACAACGATGGACCATCAAAAAACGTAAATATCAATAAATGAGAGGCACATGTGTTAAAGCGGAGCAAACAACTAAGCAACGTATAGACGTCGAGGAAATAGGTCGGCTTTAGGGGACCAATACAGCCTGCTAAACAAAGTCTGATATACTTCCGCCTGAATTAGATATGGCACAACGGAAACAGAAACTGATCAAATAAATAAAGCAAGCAATAAAATAGCAGACTGATATAGTTCGATATAAGGTAAGCTAGAATCAAATCATGTGTTACAAGAAAGGCAAACGATCCCGAAGCTGAAAAAATATATAAAGGCTTAGTGCACTGATTAATTATACGGGCAAACTGAAAAGAAAAAATCATCAAACAATAAATAACAAATTTTAAAATGTAGTATTTATAATGTACAGCTTCTCATTTATAATCATATAGGATAGCGGGGCATATTGGATGAAGATTTACAGCATTCTTTTCAACATGTCTTCCTAAAGTATTTGAGGGAAAAAGTCAAGTACAACATTCCTATAAGATAGAGGAAATTGCAGAAAGGCAAAATAGAGGTTGTAAGTAAACATAAAAGAAATGTGAATACAATATCCGGAGGCATCAATGTTTACTCAGCCATTAAGGCAATAAATTCATATCTACAAAGGATAAATGTTTAATGACTGTCCAGATAACTCCAACTTTCTACAGGTAACGTACAGGTAGCTGTTTATGTATCAACCAATCAATAAGAAATTTAACAGTGAAAAGTTCATAATGACCTCCCTGATCACTTCTTTATCACAGTCGGGCTGAAGATTGCCTCAGATCTGGGGGGGGGGGGGGGGGGGGGAAGGTAAAGCATATTAGACAAAATCATTCAACCGCGATAAATGAATGCGATAGGAGCAAAAACAGCAAATGAATGAATAAAAATGACTACAGGTGGAACGTAAAAAATTGCTCACGGGTATGAACAATGCAACAGGTCATAGATAAAAGCAACAGGACTGAAAACCCAAACTCACACTCAGAATGGCCTCGTGATAAAAATCTAAGAAATAAAGGCGAGTAAACCTAAACACTGAAATGTAATAATAGACGATGTGGACTATCTTACAAAAAATGATAGTGATGGACAAACTTGACATCCGAGGCGAAAGTTACCAAACGAAAGGTTGGTATTCATACCAAAGGTTATTAATACATTGTCTTTCAAATTAACCACCGTCGAGAGAACTTCGATAGTGATCGATCTTCAAATAAGACAAAAAAACGTCACTCGCTGAAATCCTCATAGCACCAAATCACCGACGACTAAAAAAAATTGACACTACCGTATTGATGTCCATTAGAAATGAGAAAAATAATTAACATGATGCAATATAGATCTTTCTGAGGAGATAATAAACGACATGTGGCACACAGAAATCTATTACACGCTGTGGAAAGCTGCTAATCTTGCTCTTTTCTCTAAACCAAAGAAGTAAAAATTCCGCCGGTTGAGATATGGGCAAAGTTGTCTATTGAACAAATGATCAAAGCGACAAAAAATACTTCGATCGAGAATAAAAACAGAAGACTTATTGTGTGAAAATGTCATTTCATGACCTACACTATCGAAAAGGTAAAATGGAATCGACAAAATCTATAAATGAAAAAGTAGATAGAAGGAAGGCGTTAATAACTTTCAATATTTTTAATGTCTTCAATGCCATCCCTTGGTAAAGCATTCTAGGTAGTCTAGAAGAAACAAGGTGTTCTCTCATCTACCTAGGTTGTTGTTATTATTATACAACTATTTTAAAATTAGACGGTGCATGACAGAATGGTACCGTACTTGACCCCATGTTGCGGGAAATGAAGCCTAATAATATACTGAACTGAAATAGTAAAGTAAAGTGCAGATGATCTAGCGGCAGTCAATACGGTAAGAGACGGTGAAACTGAAAGTTAAACAGATATGATAAAAATTTGGTAAACGAACATGGGCCTTAAACTATTTTCTGAGAAGACGGAATTGGTACTGCTGGAAGAATAACAGTAGTAATACAAAAACCTGCACTTTCAAGAATGTCATCACTATAAAATAATATATTTGAGAATTATCATGGGCGATTTACTCTCGGCAAAACTCCGCATTAGCTATGCATTAGCAACTAAAGTAGGAAAAGCACTTGACCACATGGAGAAAATACCGTCTAGAACGGATGGTCTTGATACGAAGCCAAGAAAAGGGTAAACAACATTTGCTAACTCCGTCGCCCTATATGACGAACCAGTATCGAAAGCGACCATTAAGACACTCAAGACTCAAGAAATACCAGTGACAAACAGCAATAAGCGCAACTAAAAGGTTCAAATAGTCTTATATAAGGCAGCGACTTCTATTGCCAGGTTAATACTTCAAGGTATACAGAGTGAAGCAACAACGACGAGACAGAAACACAAAAAGGCTGTTGCTGTGCATAAGGCTACATTCAACAAGTAGCAAGAAACCCGGTTCAACTCCAAATACAAAACACTACAAATGCGCTGAGTAAAGCTTTCATCAAAGACATGATCATGGTAAAGTGACTATTTTCTTGATCCAAATGTTAAACGGACGCGGCTCCTTCAGGCTGTACCAGCACAAAATGGGATTTAGAGGAACAATGGATGAGCTGACCCGTAAGACGGAGAGTATACCGGACCCATACAAATAATATAAACAAATGCGATGCTTGAAAGCTATGAAAACATGAGAACCACGGAAGTGTATGTAACCCGTAACTTAAAAATAAAAACATCGGTAAATACACAGTAAATGAGCCAGATATTGGTGTAAAAATATTCGAAATTCCTTTTTATCTCTTTGTTTGATTAAATGTCTAGGCGTATTACCGGTCGTCTAGGTAATTGGACGATGTCTAACTTTAAGTTTTTTTTCTTTG